CTAAAACTGCTCAGAAAAAAATCTAAATTTAAAAATTCAATGTGAATTTGGCTCAATTTCTTTTGAAAAACATAATACATATAAAGTATATAAATCCTAAGTCTAGCACTCAATTTTCAAAGTGAACACACTGTGGAACCACCAGTCACACCAAGATATAGAGCATTACCTGCACCCCAGAAGGCTCTCATCCCCCTTCCCACTCACTGTTCCCATAATGGTAACAGTTATTCTCACTTTATCACCACAAATTGGTTATTCCTACTCTGAACTTCATATAAATGTAATTATACAGTACGTTCTTGGGCTTCTTTCACTCAACATCATGTGTTTGAGATTCAACCATGTTGTTTGCACTGCTATGTAGTATTTGGTTGTATGAATGTCACAATCTGCTTGCCCAATGATGAAAGGCTGGGTTATTTCCAGTTTGGGGTTTTGTGAACATTCTTGAATATATTTCAGTGTTCATATGCACTCATTATGTAAGGTATATTCCAAATTCTATAACCATCAGTATAAATGAAGTCAGCAAAGTCACTGGATGCAATATCAAAATACAAAAATCAACTATTTCTAAATATCAGCAAAGCAGAAACTAAAATTTAAAAGAACACTACCTATAAAACATTTTAAAAAATCAGATACTTAGAAATAAATTTAACTGTGGTGCAGAAAACTTCCATACAAGAAGCTACAAACACTTTGCTGGGAGACATCGAAGAAGATCTAAATGAAGAGAGGTGCCATGTTAATGAATTAGAAGAATATCATGAAGAGTCCATTCTCCTAAAATTTATCTACAGATTCACTGATGTCCCAATCATTATCATTCGAAATGAAATTACACAAGTTACTCAGGAAACACAGTATACACAATGTCTATACTCGAGTATTTTAAAAGTGGAAAAACTGATGAGTTAAACAGACAAAATCCCAATTGTACAAATAAGAAAACAAGAATCAGAAAGAATACATAACTTATCCAAGAACTTATGATTAAGACCCAAACTCAATTTTTTTTTTTTAACTGCAAATCCAGTGGTTTTCCTTCTGTATCACACTACCTTTTCAATGTTATCTTACCTTTGTGTTTCCCAGGAAGTGAAATGGCCCAGAACTAGGGATCGGCAGGATATAAACTTAGATTGTATAGAAAATAATCACTTGGAATGCTTTCGAATAAAAGTAAATGAGAAGAGAATCCTTAGATTTGAGAGAAGCGTATGATTGACCTTCTCTTACACAGCAGTGCTCTGAACGGTTTTTCTTCTCTCGTTATCTTGTTATACTGCTTGACTTTCAAACATTTTCTTTTTACATTGATGAATGGGCATTCTATAAAGAAAAATTTCCCCTTCTCTGTTTATGTATTTTGTCTATTAAATGTGGAACTGTAATTATTTATTTTGCTCTACTGGTTAGAATCCTTTTGAATTAATTTTTTTCCCTGGCTTCAGTGGTCACAGATTTGGTTACTGGGCACTTCTGACATATCCCCATTAGCCTTTGAGCACTTCCCTCAAAACCGGCCACTCTCTGTTGTGGACATTCTATTTTGGGTTCCATACATTGTTCTGACACTCAAATCATGCTATTAACCCAAATGGAGTCAGAGTTAACAAAAAGTCCTCATCATGACCACATGTGCTACTGTCAAAACTATACTTTCCCATTCTACACGAATACTTTTGACTCTTGCACTCAACTAGAGAACTGTGTACTTACGACAAATGTCATCATGATCTGGCCGGTTTCCCCAGCTGCCTCATGTGAAATAGTAGCTCTCCCTTTCCCACCATTAGCAAATTCCATAAGTTGTCTTCTGTGTCTTTACACAAGTCGTTAATTCCAATATTAACAGATCAAGGCCTAAGATGTGGCCCTGTGGCATTCATTTACTCATGCATTCAAACTCATTAAATACAGGCAGGGTGCCAGGTATGGGGCGCAGAAAATCAGCTAAGCTAGGGCCCAAGCCCAGAGGGATCTGATGAGCTAGTATGGAAGATAAATATAAAGACTGTGAAATATGACACACTAGGGGGAAAAAAAAGGTAAGCACCAAAAATTGAATCCATCCCAGATCTGCTTCAGGGGTTTATGGGGAAGTCTATTAGGGTCATCAATGGAGCCTTTTCATAAGGGTGTGTGGTGTTTGGGCTGTAGGATAAAGGTAAAGAGCAACAAACTGCATACAGAAAGGGAAAGAATGGCACACAAGAGTCAGAATATGTTTGTAGTTAAAAGACAAACTCTGAGGTCATCAGAACAGTTTTCTAGCTCTATTCCTTTACCTGCATGGCCCTGTGCAAATTGTTACTTTATCTGTTTACTCATCTGCAAAATGGGAACAAGGACAGAAATCACCTCATAGGGTTGTTGGCAGAACTGAGCCAGAAATTAGATATAAACCAGTTAGCACAGTTCCTCGTGCTCAGTAAATGTTGCCATTTTGAAATGAAAAACCGTCACGTGTGGGGAAAATGCCAATTGAGCCCCCAAACTGGAATCCGAGGGAAAAGGGCTTCAAACCCCTCTGGGTGCAGATTTAGACATCTGCTTGATGACTGCTGGCCAGCCCACTCTGAACACACATCGGGGCTCCTACGTTTGGGCCACATCATTACTGGGACTCTGACCCTCAGTCCGCCTCCCAGGGGACTACCCACATAAACAGCATGAGTCGGAATGGGACGGGGACAACTGGAACCATCACATCCCCACACAAAATAAAAACACATGAACATGAGATTTCACGCTCACCGCATTGCTCACTGCTGGGTAAAACGTACGGAGAATGAACGACAGACTGTGCGGTAAGCTGAAAAGGGGGCAGGTAAATAACTACTCTACACACTAAAACAGAACTTCCTTTTGGGAAGAACAAACCTCTGGACTGGTAAACAACAAGACCAAAGTGACAGCGAGACTGAATATGCATTCTTCAGAGTAAAGGCATCGAGCAGATATAGCTAGAAAGGGGCAGATCTGCGAGGAAAACACAGGTAAGTTTTGTTTATATGATGAGTGAACACATTAATCATCATGTAGTACTTCTGCTATCCTTGGATAGAGAAGATTAAATATAATTTACTAATTATTAATTCATTAACATATGCACTGATGAAAATACTAAACTGTACTGGTGAAGTTAAAAAAAAAGTCATGAGAAAAGTTTCCTGCTACGTCCTCAAAAGAAAAAAAAATGGAGTAAGATTTTTCTAATTGTGTTACAACTAAAACTTACTTAAAAAAAATTACAAATTGTCATACTTACTGCAAGACTGTATTCTTGAAATCCCATTTCCGGCTCCATGCAAGCTCGAGTCAAAACTCTGACTATTTCTCACGGTGACTGGTGAGCCAGCATTGCTAGGGACAGCAGTCGTACTTGGCATCCGAGCTAGATTAGGCATACTTCTCCGGAGCTTGTCTAAAAGAGAAAAGAATTCTAGTTAAAAATCATACGGCTTATGCCAACTAAATTACCAGCTTTCAAAAGTAAACATAAATGATAGTAAGCTCAATAACAGATAAAAATCATCACATGTGTTATGAACGGTAACAAGCTACCACAGAATTAACCTTCTGTATAGAGAATACACTCTCTCCAGAAAGGTTCTACCAAATAAACTTTTTTTTTTAAAGTGTTTTATAAAAAGAAGTAGGGATTAGCTAATCAATTAGCTATTTGTTTCTATACAGTAAGTGGATAAAATTGTATCAAAGTGAGGTTAGAGAATCATCTGATAGCCACTTAGTTAGAAATTGTTATGTATTAACAAAAAAACCTAGAAGAGTCAAATCCAACACTTTATCTTTTGCTAGCATACCAAAATAGAAAGAATGATTAAAATTCTACCTTGATGTGTTCTGAGATACCCACTCATCACATCACTATGACCCCATTAAGTTCTGGAAAGTTTTAACTAGGAGCATGCCCCTAAACTTCTGATACCTGAAAGAGAGACGGCTTCTGTGTCACTCTCCTTGCTGAGTCCGTGTTCTGCCACAAAGGGGCAGCAGAGAGCCGTCCACAGACCTCAGTGCAGCGCTGTAAATTCAATGCGGGGGCGGGGGGGGGGGGGGGCGCTCCAAACTAAAGTACGTGTAACAGGTCACTCACGCAAGCTCACAAAACAAAGGATCAATTTGCATGCTAAGCAAAAACTCCGTGCTCAAGTACAAAACTGGATTCATGCCCTCCTCCCCTTTACACACAGCTCCTTCTACACTTACTCAGACCTGCAGGTTACACCATGACCAGCAAGCAAGTCCTCTAATCCAGAAACCAGGGCCATCTCCTCAGATTCACCTCCCTTCTATACCCTCAGCCCCAAGTCCTGTCAGTTCTGCCTAAGAGTTAATGACTCTTCCACTTCATCTGGTTCGGACCACGTAATCACCCACATTTTCACGATATCCTCTTACTTGGTCTCCATGCACCCTGTCTTGCTCTTCTGACCCATCTTCCACACAGCCTGCTCCACTCTTCCTCGAGCACAAGCGCACTCCCAGTCACCCGCTTAAAACCTTCCAATTACTCTCCCACCTTCATCTGAAAGCCCCTGGGCATGGCTGACCAAGGTATCAGCTCCTGTCCTTCTTCCCCAGCCTTATCTCCTGCTACTGCCACCCCTCAGTCTACTCGCCTACCACAGCGGATGAGCCAAGTTCCCAAATGCTCCACATTCTCCTGCACCTGTGACATGCTGGTCCCCCACCCCCCGCCTTGGCCACGCTTCCCCACTTTGTGGAGTGAACGAATGAACGGGGACATGAGAATTCACTGTGCACATGGCTCCATGCCAGGCACGCTCGGAAATGTGGGGGATACCACAGTGAACTACAGATACACTCCCTGACTCTGAGTTTTATTGTCTAGGCCATGGTTTCGCAATCTTTTTTCCATTATCGAGCCTAAGAAGAAAACCTAAAATAAATTTAACGTTAAATCTTGTTTCTCCCAGATGGAACAAATTAAATATTGAAAACAGCATTCTGAAACTCTGAAACATTTTGAACTTCGGAGGACCATAAACCATTGTAATATCTCATGCTTTTCACTCACGCCTCACTCACCAAGATAGTTTCAATTTTATTGGTATATGCCCTGAAGCACTAAGAGACACATATCAGGACACACAAGTTTGTGGTCACTTTCAAGTACAAATGACGTACTTGAACACTAATCCAAAATGCGTCCCAAGGGCAAAACCAGACTCATCTCTTCTTCCCCCCCCCCCCCCTTTGCACTGCTCATTCTACATTACTTATACCCGGCTGTACAGGAACAGGGCTATAGCCCTGTCCAGCAATTTTTGTCTCCTTGGGGTAGTCTAGGGGAAAGAAAATTAAACAAGTATAGTAAGTATACTTACATAAGAAGCCTAAGAAAGCGTAACAAGAAATTATAAAGAGCACTAGGACAGGAGACCAAAAAGAATCCTAATCGACCTAGCTAACTTCTTCTATATAGCTCCAAGATAAGATACCTACGACCCCCACACCAGGTCCTCACTCTCTGTGCATACTTCTAGAGAAATTATGCTCAGATACTGCCAGGGACTGTTAGATTTCTTGACCACTTTCCTCATTATCTCCTTGAGGCCTGTTTTTAACAACCACAGGTCTTATATTCCCAAATTTTTGTTAAAATTCCTAACTCCATGGGCACCTGGGTGGATTAGTCGGTTAAGCATCTGCCTTTGGCTCAGGTCATGATCCTGGGGTCCTGGGATGGAGCCCCGCATTGGGCTCCCTGCTCAGCGGAGAGTCTGCTTCTCCCTCTGCTTCTCCCCCTGCGTGTGCGTTCTCTCTCTCTCTGTTTCTCTCCACCTCCCCCGCCCCGTCAAATAAATAAAGCTTAAAAAAAAAAAAAAGTTCCTAACTGCAGGCAGGAGGCATTTAATACATTCCGCAAATGTTATTTAGGTGTATGCTGGCAGAGGGTGTGGGGTAGGAGAAATGAGAGAGAATAAATCTTAGAGTCGACATCTAGATCTTCTGAATCACAATAACTGGCATAAAAAGTGAGCCGCTATCAGTGCAAGACTAAATTACTTTGACTATATATATTTAGGCTGAAGGGCGGCACAGGGAAAGAATTATATGCTATTGAGAATAAGAATTGTGTTTCTGTACCTCTAAGTTTCCAAACTATTTACCATAAAAGTTTTCATGTATCTAGTTGAAAAGTAGTATCATAAACATCTGTATGTTTTCCACCTAGATATACTAGTTGTTTTCATTCTGCCATAATTAATTCACCTCCATACATATACACTTGTTTGCTGTTGTTAAGCCACATAAAAGCTGCAGACATCTTGACACGTGAACCCTAACTGCCCTCTCCCTCAATTTTAATATGATGCCACCATGACTTCCATTAAGCCCACGGAATATATTTTCTTCCTGGTAGTTTGAGCTTTAATAAATTAGTCAGTATGACATTCCTTAGCTGCCACTGTTTCCCCTTAAATTTTAAATCTGAAAATTTTATCGAATCAATACTGTCATGACATGTAAACAAATTAACAACAGTTTTTAATAATCCATACACAAAATTTTCCACACATCAAGAATGTCTTTCATAAGCTTTTCCCCCTAAACCACAATCAATCAAGGTTCACACCTTAGTTGTGGTGGATAGGTTTTTAGTCTGTTCATCTAGATGCATCTGCCTTTCAAAACCAATCTTTATTCCTGTGAGCATCAAGTCAGTTCCACGAAGTTTTAAATCTGAAATATGCTCTTAAAAATAAAGGCTTCCAAGTGTAAACATTTAGAACGACTCCTCCGGGAGCTAAGCTGTGATCTCCAAGCTGTGTTAGGGATCATCTGGAAATGAGGTACACTTTCCTGTCAAACAATCTGGAACATATTAATGACCATATATACTTTAATATTCAAGGAATCAAAAATAACACTCTATTTCTATCTTCCCAAAAAAACAGTAATTTATCCTCAAGTACTGAGACACAGCAGGGAAACTGGAGGAATAGGCCAAGGAAAGAATTCAAATGAGTTTTCTCATATTAAAGTAGCAGCAAGACTTACCACTCTAGGAAACACAGACTAAAGAATCTTTGGCAATAAAGGAGATACTCGGTTACCTACCAATCCGATCTGGCCTTCCACAATCAATACAGGGTACAAGGGAGGGCCTTGGGCTAACAGTGCTTACATCATGCCACCGACAATCCCTGCCCAATCAGCTCCCTTGACATTCAGTAAAGATCCTACAAGATTTAGTCATTTTTCACATCTGGCAAATTATTCCAAATATGCTCCTTTTGATTCTATATCCCCTATAAATCGTCCCACAACTTTGAAGAGCCCTCTCTTGAATCTAGGCGGTGTAGGAGCTATGGCAGCAATAAACATAAATACGCATTTCTGGTTTCTTTTTAATTATTTTTAAATGAATCAATGATTTAACAATTCTTCTATCTGTATTATTTTGGTAATTTAGAAAGATATTTGATAGTTTCAAAGTTACCATTCTTATTTCACAATTTTGTTCAAATGATATTCTGTGGTAACAAATGGAGGCTCAGCTATCTGAGTCGTATCTATATACTGGGGGTGGGGGGACAGGGGCAGAGGGGGAGAGAGAATTCCAAGCTGGCTCCACATCCAGCACAGAGTGCAACGCGGGGCTCCGTCTCACGACCCCGAGATCATGACCTGAGGCGAAATCAAAAGCGGGACGCTTAATCGACTGAGCCAGTCGGGTGCCCCAGTGAGTCCTATTTCTTAAAAAAAGGCATGTGGGAAGGGAGAGTGACAACCTTTATTCCCTTTCTTCAGTACTTTTACTCTAGGCAAAATAATGGTCATTGTTTCATTTCTTCCTTAGGTTGGGAGAATACGCCACCAGATGGTTTGATGTGAACTTATACCTAAGTTTTCCAAGAAAAAGGTATTATTTGGCCACATTTTATAGTCAAGGAAATCCAAGTTTACAGACCCGAGAAACCTGTAAAAGGCGTTAAGTGGGAGGACGGGACTGGACTCCAGACTGTGCCCTCACGGCCAAGTTAAGTAGACTAGTCCAATGCAGACGACTGCCGTTGTAGGCTGTTGTCCTTTGTATGTGGAGACCAGAGCGTTTAGGAAAAACAAAACCACTTCGGTCGGGACACGAAGCTGTGATAGGTCTCCGCTTTCCTAATGGGAACCATCATAGCACAGCTCCCAGGAAACCGAATCCTTTTCATCGTGGTGTTTCGTGTAAGGTGAAACCACTTTTCTAAGGTAAAACGATGACCTGCTGACAACACTGCTCTAGATGCCGAGCTGGCACCTGCTGGGCAGCGAGGCTGGGGCGTCCTGAGACACCTGACAACCTTTACTGCAACAATTCTACGGGCCCTTTTCCGCAAGTTTAAAACGAGGCCGACTTTCATTAAGCACATGGAATACACCGCTTTTCTGATATGATGAGCTTTAATAAGTGGAGTTACTATGACATTCCTTGGCTGCCACTTTTTTCTTTCAAATCTGAAATCTCAAGGTCCTAAAAGGGAAATTATGACTAAAATGTTCAATATTTTCAAATGATCTCTCAGTCAGCATGAAAGATACAAGTACAGAAGAAGAAAAGATGAAAACTAAAAACATGGTGACAGGTGATCACAAATACAATCTGTATTTGGCCTTGCAGTACTTTTATGTGAGCTGCTTAATCACTCCTGGGCCCAGAAATGGTGCTATATGATAATTAGACGCTGTAATTATAAATCTGGTTTTTTCCTCCATATTATATGGGATTTGTGTGTGAAAAGTCTGGCTGGTCATTAGTATAAAAGCATACCAGGCTTAGGAGAGTACATGATTGTTCTCCCTACAGCGTGTTGGAGGTCAAGGACTGTAAGTCCTAGAGTGGGGAAGAAAGACAGATGGCAAAGAGGGAGAAAGGAAAAAATACCAGAGATGACACGTTCTCTGACCCTCCATGTTGACGTTGGGGCAGATCAACTTCCCGTTATCAAGCCAAGTATCAGCCTCCTTATCCCCCCTGCTACACAGACCTTTCTTCTAGATGTCACAAGGAAAGACATCCAAACGTGCCCTGAATCTGGATGGGCATGTTCCCCCTGCATCACTCCGTGCCAGGAACGGCCGGGAGAGACTGGGGTGAGGCACAGGTAAGGAGCCACAGCTCACGGGGCTCCCCGGTGAACGCCACAGCACCACCGTCCCGTCCTGCCCTGACCAAGCCGCCGCACAGACACCCCCCACGCATGGCCCGTTCGGTGCTGGCTACTTCATGGTGGTGTTTTCTGAAGCCGTAGGTCTGTAAATCTGGGACATATCATCAGACGCTGGGCAATTTTAGATTTAAACTTAGACCAAACTGATCAGGTCTTGAAGACATACTTCATAAATCTGGGAAACATTTACTAATTATTTACACTGACCTTAAAACCATTTCTTAATCACACATGAAAGATCAAAGCACATTAAACGCCGAAGGGCACACGTAACCTACCTCCATTGGTCCGATTTGGTTGCTGATCTGGAGTTTGGGCTTGAGGTGAGTAATACTGTTGCTGCTGGTAATTACTTGAAGGAAAATACTGGGAACTGGGGCTCCTCCTACACTCCCGAATGCTGGAGAAAGTCTGTGAGTGGGGAATGCCTCTTTGGAAAGGCGAACATCTTGGAAGACGAGGCTGAGGTGGTGGCAAATGATCAAATTCTTCCTCGTCCTCCAGACTGAAGCGATCATATTCTTGATCACTACACGTCCCTTTTTTTCCTGAATTCAGTGACACACTGGAGCTATGTCTGGACACAGATGCTGAGGTGGAAGCGTAATCTTGCCTGAGACCTAGGACAACAAGGAACGGTATTGCCTCAGGAGATGTTTCAGTCTAGCAAAAATCAAGTTGCAATTAAGTATCAGAAGAAAACGTGCTCTAGACAAATAGTTCAAATGAAGACCCATTATCCTGTTCATAGTTTATTAAGTCCCAAGAAAACAGACACATTTACCCAACAAACAGGTGTCTAATACTAGGCTGTACTGTTCTGTAAAAAGACTGCCCCGATTCCAGAGAAGACTAAATATACTGCCACAGTTCATCGGTCAGTGTCTGTCAATACCCCCAAATGATCCCATCTGAAATCTGGAGAGATACCTAGGAGAAGCTACTCATTATCATTATGAATAGCATGTTATGGGTTAGACAGTTAAAACAATCAAATCTCCTTCCAGGGAGGAGAACTCCTGTCCCTCATCCCCAGCTTTCAAAGTCAAAGCAAACAAAGTTCAAAACCTGGGGTACAAAATATTCTCTTACAAGGTCGCCTCTCTTCTACTTGTTACTAATATTATCTTTTTCAAAGCATCCTGACACTTCAATACTTCAATGGTTTTGGGTCAGCCCAAATGACAACCATCTAAAAATAGACTGGAAGTTTCTAGTTATTCACGTCATTGCCAATACCACAATTTTTTTTAAAGAAGGAAAGGACATTAATCGTTTAGCCATATGTTTTCAGAACAACTCGCTGTTATTTTACTACTACTGAATAACATAAAACCATCACTTTGCCCCTCAGAATGTTATCTTATTAAACTCTCCATAAGCATGACAGTGTTTCTCATAATAGCCCTGACTAATTCTGAAAGCAGGAAATGGCCATGCTTCAATGAAAGGATAGTTGGCTGTTTCTACTTTATGCTGACCTGAAAAGGTAATTCCAGAACAAGCCTAACCCCATCCAGTGCTCGGCAGCTCACTGTGCGTTTTGATGTCCTTATAATACCCTTGCAGTAGTTCATTCCTAGATGACTGGTTAACTTCACTGCAGAACCAGTGATAAGCTGTCCCAGTTCAATTATCTTCTCTTCTACCATTATTTATCCTGAGAAGTTTATCAATGCATTTTAACTGAGCCTATATTAAGATAACTATAGACTTACATGCAGTTCAAAGAACTAATAGAGAGGTTGCTGGTGCACTCTGCCCAGTTTCCCCTAACGGTAGCATTTTGCAAAATTACAGAATAATATGACAACTGGGATATTGTGATATAAATCCATCTTGTTTAGATATTCCCAGTTTTACTCAGGTACATGTAAGTATTAAGTTCTATACATTTTAGGATCTGTAGGATCAAATGTAGGATCAAATATCTACCACCAGTGTCAAAATACTGAACAACTCCGAAAACTCACAAAACAACAAAAATCCCTTGTGCTGCCCTTTCATCACCACAGCTACCTCCCTCCCGAGATCCCACATCCTGTCTCTAACCCCCATCCCCCACTCATCTGTCCTCCCATTTCTAAAATTTTCTCATTCTCAAATGTTATATAAATGGAATTACGGCAGTATGAAATCATCTTTTCTCACTCAGCATTATTCCTGGGAGAGTCATCCAAGACGCCGCCTGCATCAGCAGTCCACTCCTCCTTACTGCTGATACAAATACTTACTTACTCCAGGGTATGTGGCGCCCCAGCCTCATGAACCATGCACCGCCTGAAGGGCATCTGAGTTCCTGCCAGTTCGGGGCTATTACGAATAAAGCACCACAAACATGTACAGCTATTTGTGTGAACACAAATTTCCACTATTCTGGGAAAAGTGCCCAAGACTGCAACCGGCAGGCAACTTACTGGGGCCTATGAAAATCGCATGCTTAGTTTTTTAAGAAATGGACAAACGGTTTCCACAGTAGCTATACCACAATGTCTTTATATTAATGTATTCTGATCAATGTCTTTATATATAACGTATTTTGTATGTTCTAACACCTTCCGATGCCCACAAGAGCCTGAGAAGCACTAACTGGCCCACCTACAAGCTAGGGGAGTATGAGAAAAAGCATCTAATGTTTACCCATTACCTGGGGAGAAATGCCCGAGCCTCCCTACCTCCTTACATTTTAAGCAGAAGCCTCTAGTTTAAGAAGTTTTCTACTTTAAAAAGAACATACTTTCTTCTTGGAGACGAGCCATGATCTGAACGTCAGTGAGATCCTGTAACTTATATCCCATGGAGATAGAATCATCTTCCAATTCCGAAGTACTCAGCTCACTGTCTATAGAGGACTGGGGACTGAGAGGGGAGCCCCTGGAGGTGTAACCTAAAACACAAAGGAAATACGTTTATTATTTAGCCTGACGAACTGATATCTACATCATGCCTAACAATTCCTGTATCAAGTCAGCAATTTTTTCCCTAGTTCCAGGTCACCCAAAAGTGACCAACACGTCACCATTTACCAGCAAGACAATATGCATATCTTTCACATGTTCATAATTCACATATGCAAAACCATTTGTTTTTTCAAATTCAATTTTCACAATTTAAAAAAAATCACTCTGTACTACGCACCAAAAAAAAATTATTGAGGGTAGATAGTTATTTTTTACCATATTAAAAAACTATATATATATATATATCTATCTCACCAGTGGTGAAATCTGCATCCCATTAGATATATATCTAAAGGCATTATATAAGAATACATATCCATGTTCACTTTCAATTAATAATCAGATATGCTTGTCTCTGGTAGTAATTGATTATTAAATTATAATCTGGTCCATTTTTCGAATAGGTACAAGAACATCACACAGAAAAGGCACGCATATATACACAGAAGCATATCCAAAACCTTAATAAAGGACAGAGCCCAGTAGTCACAGGAGACCCGTAGTCACCCACGAAAGTAAAAAAAGCAATGGCTTGGGTAAGAGAACGAAGGAAGAAAGGACCCAAAGGGAGAACAGCTGTAGGAATGGAATCACACCAACGCTGACACAAATAAGGAAAGGAAGAGAACTTCATCTCACAAAAAGGTACTGTGGCTATTTCTTCTGTGTAGCCCTGGCTTTAAAAACAAAAAGCTATCAGAAAAATATAACTTAAAAAACCAAAGACACAAAAGGTTTATCTTCCTGAATCATAATGGAAATACCTGAACTGAGTTCGACATTTAATGCTGAAAGCACACTAGGTGTCTGGAAAGGTCACCAGACACGCAGGTCTTCGCTAACCAGGGAAAACCTGCCGACGACACACAAGGGACAGCACGTTGCCTGCCGGTGCTCAAGCAAATTAAGGGCGCCCTCCTCTCTGCACCCAGAGTCAGTGTGCAGCACGCACTCTCCATTGCAGGATCACCCTCAACTTTTCCAGGGAAAGAGGGTACTTAAGCTGTTCTTACTGACAATGCAAGCAGCTAGTCAAGAAGTTGAAAGATTACCTGTTCTCTCAGGTGTTAGTATTGCTTTATTTGAGGTTTTAGAGAAGCTGGGAGTATTAATGCCATTGCTATATGGGCTGAGTCTTGCAACAGGACTGTAAGGAAAAGCCAGTGAGACATTTGAAGAGAAGAGACTCCGCCATCGGCTCACTGTCACAGAAGCAGAAAATAAACAACAGCAGTTAGCTACCCGGGAGCTGACTGGTCAGAGGGAGAAAGGGCAGAGGTTAAAAAAAAAACTGAAAAGACAAAGCAACGTTTCATAAAGATATCTTAAATGACTTCCATTTATCTAAGGCGGAAACATGTAAAAACAGGCCATTTGTGAATTCCTGTTGATACCTCCATTTAAGAATTAGTAATCAGCTTGATTAAAGCCAATATGCCTGGGTAACAAGGAAACCTTGTTTTGAGTTTCTACACTGGAAATGTTGTTTTCCTACTCTATTTCTGCACAAGGACTTAAATGTTTTGTAGTAATATAAAAGGTGAGTGTCCAAAAAAACCTTAAAATTAAAAATTGTGGGGAATGTTAGTAGTAACTATACACAGTACTATATTTTTCCTTCCTAAGATTAATTTTCAACCCATTTTGTATCAGAAAATGTTGGTGCTCTTGGCTTACAGACAAACTTAACAGGACGACTGCCTTTCTGAATGGCTGCCCTGAGTCCAAAACAAGCCTTATGGAAAAATAATAACAAAACCACAGGAGAAGGTTACAAAATTTAATGACAGCTATTTGTGATGGCAGGCATAGAGATTAACTGGTGATTTGCTGGGTATTTTTTTAATAAAAAATATCTTCCAAATTTTCTGTATGGAACATGTGTTACTTGTGTAACATTTAAAGGTAGGATGACATATACTATTACTTTAATCCTTTAAAGTAAGTAACAAAAAGGAGTATTACCTACAATGGGCAAATGATCTAATTCTTACATTTCACCTGGCCTAATTAATGTATTTCCCTCCTCCCAAATTGCCAACCCCTGCTGCTATTTCTAAGTTCTTGAGATCATGAAAAAGACCTCAAACTGTAAAAACTTAAGTCACACCAAATACCACGTACTCTCCCTTCAAGGGATGCAAATTACTGTGCTAGGAACATCCATTTTTCTGAAAAGCAATCATTTTGACATGTACTAGTAAGCAGGACAGGAGGGAACACCTCAGAAATATAGATGAGGTTAAACCTCACTTAAAGCAATAACTGGGTATTTGCTGGAAATGTGACAAACCTGGAGGAGCAAGTATACAAAGGGCCACTGTGACATGCATGCCCCAGACCACTTTTAATGAGCACTGCTAATGCGCAGTCAGTCGGACAACTAGAAAGTGTTTAAAAATGGGCAGTGGGGTGAAGAGAGAGACACCATGGGATGTGGGGGGTCAAGAAAATAATCGGCTCCAAAACTGGGATTCTTAACATCCTTGCAAATATCACCAAGGTTATTTAAAAGAGCAAAACGTTTCCTCTTATTTCAAGCAAGAGTTCTTGAGATAAGTACCATCCCATTCCAAAAAAAAAAAATTAAAAAAAACCCAAAAAACCTTTTCCTTCTGTAGGCGAAAGAGCTAGGCAAAGAAACTGCATTCGCAATGACCCCTCTTTCGGAACTCGCAAGTGTCCGCAAGGGGCCACTGCGGCAGCGAAGCTTGGTTCCTAACTCACACCAGTCACCTCACTTACCCAGTACGTAACTACGTGTGGTTAAGCAGCTCTTCTCAAGCTGAGCCAGAGCAGAGACCCGCGGAGCTGGCATTCCCAGTCCCGGAACTTCTAGATATGTAAACCTGATCCCCAAATACACTGAAAGATTGGGGTTAGCCGCTTTCACACCTCCAAACTCTAGGACTCCAAGTTTCTCATTAAAATTCTATATTAAAAAAAAAAGATCAACAGCTCTTTGTGACGGCTGACTTGCTAAACAGATGATGTTTGATCACTTGCCAGGCAAATTACAGTAACTGCGTGTTCTCACCCACAGATGCAGGCGACGACGCATCCCAAGTAAACAGCATTCATCTCTCGGCACAGTAACTACTGTGACCCAGACTCCCAGCACAATGGCACAGTGATTGTGGCTATGACAGCAAGATCCCGACTAAGAACACAATTAGCATCTATTGCAAGAAAGAATGCTCTACATTGTCCTTTAGCATGGAGGTTTTTAAGAAGAGGGAGGAGAATTATCATGGGGGCAAGCTAACAAAACAATGTTAGACCAGCACCCAAGGCTGTGGCGGAGGAGAAGGGAAAAGAGCGGAAGCCATTACATCCTACTTCTTCACTATGTAGCCGAAGGATTATACAAATTGTAACATGAAGCATTTTTATGGGTGTTGTGGCGCTTGAACTCATGACCCCAAGATCAAGAGTCACATGCTCTACTGAGCAAGCCAGCCAGGTGCCCCCCAGCAAGCATTCTTATAGAACATAAAACAAAAGAACCTTCTAAAGGGCAATTTTATCTTTTTCAGTCAATTAATTTAATGGACTTTTCATATGAAGATAATTAAGTTATTTGAGAGGCTCAGTGATGATTGCAAGGACCCTAAAAACAAAGTAAGACAATGTTGCTAATGGAGAAAATGGATAATAAAGTTCTGAACGGCAGTTACATTTCCCTACCCTCCACTGCAAAGTTCTACTTATAAGTCAGGCGCTTCTCAAACTTGGAGGTGGCATGGACTCCGTAACTTTTTGTTCTATTCCAAGCCCTCGAATAGTAGAGCTGGGCCCAAACACCAGGACACACTAAAGGTTTTCATTCCCAAATACCTTAAGTTGGACTGCCTCCCAGGACACTCTTTTCCGCATGCTCTCTCATCCTACTGCAACCTCCTGAATCGAGATGCTTGCCACCTCACACCAGATGAACGCCATCTACTCCTCAACCTGTAGTCACCACCACCGCCCCGGCCAGCCTGCTCTGAACATCACGACCACGGCTGCGTCCGTCCGATACTATTTAAACTGTATTACTCTCTCCCACTGAAGTTCCGCAGTGGCTCTTCACGGCACATGGGATCTGGAAGGCGCTCAGGATCATCTCGCCAGGACCCCTCCCCACCGCTGCGCCCTCCTGCCCACCTCCAGCATTTCTGGTTTCCTTGCTAACACACTCGGACAGCAAAACCTTCTACGTTGCCTCCCTCCTCTAACAAGCGTCTTTTTTTTTTTTCCTTTAAGATTTTATTTATTTGACAGAAAGAGACACAGCGAGAGAGGGAACACAAGCAGGGGGAGTGGGAGAGGGAGAAGCAGGCTTCCCGCTGAGCAGGGAACCCAAGGTGGGGCTCAATCCCAAGACCCTGGGATCATGACCTGAGCCGAAGGCAGACACTTAAGGACTGAGCCACCCAGGTGCCCCTAACAAGCATCTTCTATTGAAATAAATTTGATAAAGTACTAAGGTGTGGACTGGTCCTTCATCTTTCTGCCAAAATAATGTCTAATGGGCAATTATTTTTGGTACATCTTCAAAATTGCCAGACTTAAAAAATAAATTACAAATCTGTGAAGCTATTTTTGTACATCATTAAATATAAATGCCCCCCAAGAAAAAGTTTAATTTGATAAATGTTCCAGTGATGATAATATCCAGAAAAATCACAAAGGACAGGATAGGTTTAAGAAAGAATCTAAATTTAATTCTCCACACTGAAAATTATTAATCAAAAACTAACAATGACATTCCTTCCATGCCTTGCCTAGGTTCATAGCAAACACAGTAAATATTGAAATTTTTGTGGAATATATAGGTCTCTGCATATAGTCAAAATCAAATTTAAGAAAGAGTAGGACTTAATTTGCATAAAAGGAAAGAGAAACTGATCTAATGAGAAGCTCAGTGATAATCCTCAAAGATCGGTACTAAGAGTTCAACAATAAGGCAGTGCTAGAATACATTCCAGAAACGATCCTTTTCACACTTTCTTCTCCCTCGAGAGATGGCCTTTAGTACCTAATACACTGTCTGGCACACAGTAAACAGTCAAAGCTCAGTGTGTTCAAAATCTTGGCCGAGTTCACTAATATCTCCTATTTCAAACCATTCTACCATTCCTACCTTAACACCTAAATGGTTCTGCCCAACTTCTTAAACTTATTAACTGTAATTCAATATATATAGTATCTCTGAAGACGAAAGTTAGTTTAGTCCTTTCAGCCCAGCTAGACAGAGGCTCCATGAAGACATATACCTGCAGGAGCACAATGTCTTAGGACTTCCTAATAACTATTAAGTTGTTGAACTTTGTGTGTGTGAATCTTCGGGTTTCCAGCTGAAGGACTTCGTATCACTTATGGCTAGGACCTACGATTGGGTCCCGGTCTTAGAATGAGCTCATTCCTACAAGGCTGTGTGGCACAGTTAAAGTGAAGGGCTGTGCCAAGACACCAGTTGGCAGTAAACCACGCAAGAAGGCAACAAAGCTTCCTCAAATTCTTGAAATGCTACCATTTCTTACAATCAAAGACACTCTTCACAAAACAGCTAAGAGCGTTTCGCGGAATTTCTCTACGTCCTGCTTCCAACGGTGTAGCATCTGAGTTAGGTGAAGCAGTCAGTCCTGGGGGGCAGCACTCTTACTCTTTCTACTGGCTTCTAACGGCACAGCCGCATTCCTAATCAGGGTCCTGTGGTCTGAATGTTGTGTCCCCCAAAATTCATGGTGAAATGCTAACCCCCAAAGAGGAAGGTATTATATAGGTGGGGCCTCTGGGAGAAGCTTACATCAGGAGGATAGAACCCTCATGAATTGGATTAGTGCCTTATAGAAGAGGTTCCAAAGAGCGCCTGAGCCCTTTCCAAACACGAGGGCGCAACAAGAAGTCTGCAACCCGGCATGGGGACCTCCGAGCCCGACTCCGCCGGCACCTGATCGTGGACATCCAGCCTCCAGAACTGCCAGCCATAAAACTTCTGCCATTTATAAGCCGCCTCCTCTGCGGGATTTTGTTCTAGCGGCCGGAACAGACTAAGATACGGGAGCAAGTTTCTCTAGAAAACAAGCCCTATCCTCCCTACTTCTATCCTTTTACCCCTTTCTCATCTAAGAGTAAGGCTGCAAAGGCAAAACTGCAGCTTGTAGAGACCATGGTTCAGGCTACTTTGCCACATCCTCTTCTCTCTCTCTCATGC